ATTTTGGATTAACTGAAGACTACTTAAAAAGTTTTTTGGATGCCCAGATAATAAAGAATTACAGTAATCCAGTCTATACATGATAAAACAAAACAGTTGTTTAACTTGACTCACTGAGATTTTACCACACTCACTGAATTTACTCACAATATTTTGCTCTGTATATGTACAATTTTACTTTGAACAATTTATGGTAATATGAACTGATCAGTTATGTGACAGTTTTTACAAAGTTTTGAGATGTTCTAAAAAAATAAAGCTTTTGGTTGGAATTTATTTTTATACTTAATCCTGACCCCCTCATCTGTCACTAATCGGTGTATTGTGTCTCCTACACTATTTTTACATTTTCATTCTACCAGTTGTTCAATTTTCTTCCACTCTTACTTGCTTTTCATTTGTGTGTGTTTATCAAACAAACACATTACACATTTACATGGTAACTAAAACATGAATGTTTTTTATTGGCAGATCAGATGAGAAATTACGGAGCCCGCCGGGGGTCAGTGGGAGAAAAAAAAAAACAGCCACTGGAAATCCGTGAGCACGGATTACTAAACTGTGCTCTCAGTTTAGCAATCCGTGCGCACGGATTTCGGGCGGCTGCTTTTCTTTTTTCACCACTGACCCCCGGCGGGCTCCGTAAGAAATAATCAGGAAGTGTTGAAGGCCATTTGAATGTCTACTTTGATTTTGTTGAAGAGGCACTAAACTAAAAAGACTAACACATCACAAAGTAAATGTGTCTCATGTTTCTGTCTCCCTCTGGTGTTTGTCCTCTGTTTTCATTCTCATCTTTTCCTCAGCTCTGTCTTCTCCTGATACACTCTCACATCAGTCTGTTTCCACTCTCCACTCTTCCCTGCTCTATTTTACCTGTCCTTCATCACCACTTCCTCATCCATTGTTTGATTCGCCCTGGTTGTTTTCCTGGGTCACCAGTTAGTTTATTTATTTATTTATTTATTTATTTATTTATTTATTTATTTATTTATTTATTTATTTATTGTTTAGCCGCCACACTGGCCTTTTAAAATCTATTTCTTCATTCGATTCCTCGAGTCTGCCTGCATCATTGGGTCTGATCTTGCCATATTCTTGTGAAAATGAAGTATGTATTTAATAACTGTCGAATGATTTTTACAGACGCGTATTTTAAATAAAACAACTAAAATAACTATTATTACAGATATTTTCTCTTTGTCAAAACTGTCCAACAATTTTGCGGTCATATATGTGCAGGTATCTTCTTAAATGTTCCTGAAGAATCTCATAAGTCTAAAACTTTTTTCATTCCAGAGTGAAAAACTGTGAAGTAGATTTTGACAGCTCCGAGGTCAGTTTGACTAACATTTCCTTTTTGAACTCATCCTGAGTATTTGTCCTCAGCGCTCACAGTGAGGTGTTTCACCATCTCAATGTCTTACTTTTTTGTAGGATGAAGCAGAGCTTTACTTCACTGAACCCCAGCAGCTTTTGAATTTGATGACGGAGTTGACAGACCAGAACCTATCCTTGATTCTTAACTCTGCAAGGGTGAAGGAAGAGTTGAGGAAGCTCCGACAGTCCATAACAACAACCAAGAGGGAGATGTATGCTTTCTGCACCTTTTACACTGGGTCCATCTTGACATTTTCTTGGGTCCGTTTCTATTATTTGAATTTAATTCCTACTTTCCTCTTCATCACATCAAAAACTGGCTTCTGTCTGAAGTGAAGAAGAAGAAGAAGAAGACCAGATCTTTCCGATGATAAATGAGATGAAGCAAAATATTGTCAGAGGGAAGGAGAGAGGCTTGGAGCTTCAACAGATGGTTCAACTTCACGAAACACTGAGCACAAACAGTCAAGTAAGGAACTAATTACATTGTCTTTGAGTGCATTTTACTCAAAGCTGAAAGATAATTGGAATTATTTTAAACACTAAAGGATCATGTTCCATAGAAACAGATGTTACAGTTGTTGAAACTGATGGGACCTCTGCAAACTCCTCATCCATCAATGTTCTTTCAATCAGTGGATCTTTGATTTTTGAAATATTTATAAACTGATAATTTGGAGATAGTCATACTTTTTCCCTGCTATGCCCTTCACGTCATCCCAGGGTCTAAGCCGCCAAAGCTAGAACACCAAACTTTTCTATCCTGGGCCATTTTGTCTAGTTAGATCCAAGTACAGTCTATCTTTTTATCATCTGCCGAGGCTTTGTTGCTAAGTGTTTTTTGGACAGCCTCTGAGGCAGTGGTGGCTGGTGGATTTTTCTCCAGGGGGGGCTACAACTCCAAAATAGACATATCTCCAAAAGCAATCAAACTTGTACTAAGTCGTTTCACGTCAGTGTATTTATTAAACAAATGAAAACAATATAACAGCATTACAATGTCATGTAGTGTTTTTGTTTTTAGTACATAAATTCTGCCCTTCTGTAACAGAACCAAATCTCTTCATGACTCTGGTTAAAGTCAGGGATGTTTTAACCAGATTCTTCTCTATAGAGCATGGTCAGTGCAGTGAGATGTGATGTTGTACCTGAGGAAAGTCTGGATTCTCTTCAGTGTTGAGAAACTCCTCTCAGATTCAGCTGTGGTGTCCCAGTGTGTCCCACTGGGGACACACTGGGCCACTGGTCCCACACATGATGTCCCAGTGGCTTTCAAAGCCCAAAACACATTACGGCAAAGGCTGGTTCACCCCAAAGATCCAGTGCCCCAGCACAAACAGAGCAATGTTGTATATGCTGTTAAGTGCCAGGAGGACTGCGACCAGTTATACATCGGGGAAACAAAGCAGCCACTGTTCAAAAGAATGTCCCAACACAGACGAGCTACATCTAATGGCCAGAACTCTGCAGTTTTCACTCATTTACAGGCCAGCGGTCACTCTTTCAGAGATGAGGATGTTCTCATTCTTGATAGAGAGGAACGTTGGTTTGAGAGAGGAGTAAAAGAAGTCATTTTTGTGAAGAAAGACCATCCATCTTTAAACAGAGTTGGAGGCCTCCGTTTTCACTTGTCCCCCTCCTACAGTGCTGCTATTGCCAGTATCACTCCACCTCCTGTTAACAATAGGTATTAATTAGGTGTCAACGATAGCCATGTGATGTGAGTATCAGTCACATGGAGGCAGGGCTTAAAAGCCTGAATTTTGCCTGAAACTCTCAGACTGAAGAAGTCTCTTGGAGGGGAGACGAAACGTTTCATTAGAGAAGAACCCGTCCAGAAGACCTATACAATTTTTTTCTTTTTGATTTTTTACCTGGATTACTGAGATGCATCAGGACATTCATGAGTAAAATGAAAGTTTATCCGTTAATAACTATAAAAATGTATCTTACACATCTAAACCATATATAGATATTTCTACTATACATTTTATTTTGTTATTTCGTTTTATATTTTTTCTGTTCCAAAAAATAGTGGTGGGGAGGTGCCGCCCTTGCGCCCTCTAGTGACCAGCCGCCACTGCTCTGAGGGCCTGCCTGGTGATTTTGGTTGGCAGTAGAGAATGCCTTACCCAACACCATCTTTTCTTCCCATAAATTGATGTTACTAATGTTGTCTGGCCAGTGAATGTAGAGAATCTTTCTGAGACAGATGTTGTTGAGTCTATTTGAAATTTATTTGTGAAGCATAGTGGGGACAGCATCATCCTTGAGTTTCAGATGCTACATTTATCTGGAAGGACTTAAGATGTATAAAACAAATTATTAGAAGCTGGCATGTTTGTCTTGCAGAATGCAATGTTAGAAGCTCTCAATGAGAAGGTGGGAGAGGTGCATTGCAGCTGTGTGGATGACAGAAAAACCAACTTCAACACCCTGGAGAAAGTGGCCAACATTAAGAACCTCCTAATCTCTCTGCTCGAGAGCCTGGTGAGCATCCCTGAAGAAAAACTGCAGAAGATTAAGAAGATCAAGGACAGTGAAAAGAGAAGCAGGTATCTCTTATCAACTTTGTTCTGATTACTTTCCTTCAATCAAATTTTGATAAGGTAGCTAACCCTGGCTCTAATGAAGGTAATTACTAGTGCTGTCAATTGATTACAAAATTTGATTAAGTTAATGACACTCTAGGGCTGTAAATAGTCACAAAGTTTATTTTTTAAGCTTGCAATGTAAATATGCACGCTTTCAAAAAATGTTGAAATTGTTTTATTTTCTGAAACGTAACATGTCTGAAGATTCTTTGTTTTCCCGGTTTTCATATTCAGAAAGGTTTAAAAGAAGTAATTTTGTTTCAAAACATTAATGTCTCATTAAGTGTCATTTATGTGCTCAAAACGTGGGAACAGTATAGTAAACAGGTCTTATGAGTTACTGTTTGACTCTTATGTCTGTCTAAAATCAAAAAATATATCAATATACAGCCACAGGAAACAAACTATTTTTTCTGCACTTCAAATTAACATAGCCAAGTGCACTTGTGTAACATACACTATATTGCCAAAAGTATTGGCTCACCTGCCTTGGCTCACATATGAGCTTCAGTGACATCCCATTCCTAATACATAGGGTTCAATATGACGCTGGTCCACCCTTTGCAGAACAGCTTCAGCTCTTTTGGGAAGGCTGTCAACAAGGTTGAGGTGTGTTTATGGGGATTTTTGACCATTCTTCCAGAAGTGCATAAGTGAGATCACATACTGATGTTGGACAAGAAGGCCTGGCTCTCAGTCTCCACTCCAATTCATCTTAAAGGTGTTCTATCAGGTTGAGGTCAGAACTCTGTGCAGGTCAGTCAAATTCATCCACACCAGACTCTGCCATCCATGTCTTTATAGACCTTGCTTTGTGCACTGCTGCACAGTCATTTGGATGGGTGACCAAATGCTTTTAGCAATATAGTGTACTACAGTCACATTTAACCTGATCTTCCATCAACCAGTTGCTTAGACAGACTAGCTTGTTAACGTTTTCTGATGACAGAGCTGATCTCTTTTTTTTGTACAATGTAGCTTGTTAGAGAAGTAACCCTTTCACAAGACTCTGCCAAAGTAGGTGTTGCTAAATAGTTATTATCCCTGTCCCTGTGCTCATCACTACAATAGTGGGCATGTGTCTGTGCTTACACAGGGCTCTGCCTTGTACTGCTCTAAAGTATTGTCTGTGGATAATCCTTCATCATCAGACTCTGTTTGGAGGACCAATCCTGCTATAACTAACTGGAAATAAATAAATGGCTTGACAAAATAAATAATGTGGCAAATACTGCATCTAAAAAAAGAACAACCAATTATTTGATTATAGAGTGCAACATAAAATAATATTTATATATTTATCTAATTTTAATAATAATTTAACATTATCACAATTGTTTAATTTTTTTCCAATTTTGTTATTATTGTTTTTAAGTTTTTCAATTACTATATTTATTTCATACATTTTTGATTTATTATAGATTTTTTTTCTCATTCTGTATTTTTTTATTTATTGTCACCTTTCTTAACAGGCATTGATTCATTTTCATCTCTAATATTTCCACTTTGCATTTTCTCCCCTCCTGTTTTCTCATTTGTCTATTTATTGACAGATCTTTTTTCCCTCATATTGTATTTTCCTTTTCCTCCTGACTCTGTGTGACACGTAAAATGAGAAAGGGGGTGGAGTGGAGGGGAGAGGAAGGGAGTGGGGCTGGTGGGCATGTATTCAGAGTCAGCATCTCTCTTCCATGTGTGCTGAGATTGACTATCAGTCCTGCTTTCTGCTGCCTGACCCCTGTTAGCTTCCACCAGCTAATGTAGCTAACGTAATGGACCAGAGTTTGGTAAGATTTTTACGTGTTTTTTTAATAAACATGCATGTATATTCACAACATTACTTGGTCTGGAAAAAAGACTAATTTGTAGTTTACCAGGTCTGTCCATCCATCCGTCCATTTACTTCTGCTTATCTGGGATCGGGTCACGGGGGCAGCAGCCTAAGCAGAACAACCCAGACTTCCCTCTCCCCAGCCACTTAGACCAGCTCGTCTGGGGGGAATCCCAAGGCGTTTTCAGGCCAGCTGAGAAACGTAGTACCACCAGTGTGTCCTGGGTCTTCCTCTGGGTCTCCTCCCAGTGGGACGTGCCCGGTACACCTCACCAGGGAGGCGCCTACGAGGCATCCTAACCAGATGCCCAAGCTACCTCAATTGGCTCCTCTCGACGTGAAGGAGCAGCGGCTCTCCTCTGAGCCCCTCCTGGATGACCGAGCTTCTCACCCTTTCTCTAAGTGAGAACCCAGACACCCTGAGGAGGAAACTAATTTTGGCCGCTTGTATCCACAATCTTGTTCTTTTGGTCACTGCCCAAAGCTTGTGACCATAGATGAGGGTAGGAACGTAGATCGACCAGTAAACCAAGAGCTTCGCCTTTTGGCTCAACTCTCGCTTCACCACGACAGACCGGTACAGCCCCCGCATCACTGCAGATGCAGCAACAACCCTCCTATCGATCTCCTGCTCCGTTCTTCCCTCATTCATGAACAAGAATCCAAGATACTTCAACTCCTTGACTTGGGGCAGGACCTCCTCCCCGACCACGAGGCGGCACGCTACCCTTTTCTGGCTCAAAACCATGGTCTTGGATTTGGAGGCACTGATTCTTATCCCAGCCGCTTCACACTTGGCTGCGAACCGCTCCAGTGAGAGCTGGAGATCACAATCTGATGAAGCCAATAAGACCACATCATCTGCAAAGAGCAGAGATGTGATCTTAAGGTCACCATAATGGATCCCCTCAACACCTTGGCTGTGCCTAGAAATTCTGTCCATAAAGGTTATGAACAAAATCAGTGACAAAGGGCAACCTTGGCGGAGTCCACCTCTCACCGGAAACAAGTCCAACTTACTACCGGCAATGCGGACCAAACTCTGGCACCAGTCGTACAGGGATCTAACAGCCTGTATCAAAGGGCCTGGTACCCCATACTCCAGGAGTACCCACCACAGGACTCCCAGAGGCACACGGTCAAACACCTTCTCCAAGTCCACAAAACATATATAGATTGGTTGGGCGAACTCCCATGGTCCGTTGTTCCACGACCAGGACAAAAACCACACTGCTCTTCCTGAATAAGAGATTCAACTATCTGACAGACCCTCCTCTCCAGGACCTCCGAATAGGCCTTACCAGGGAGGCTTAGAAGTGTGATCCCCCTACAGTTGGAACACAGTCTGCAGTCCCCCTTTTTAAATGGGGGACCACCACCCCAGTCTACCAATCCAGGGGAACTGCCCCCCGATGTCCACACGATATTGTAGAGTCGCGTCAACCAATGCAACCCCACAACATCCAGAGCCTTAAGGAACTCTGGGCAAATCCCATCCACCCCCAGTGCCCTGCCACCGAGGAGCTTTTTAACCACTTTAAAGACCTTGGCACCAGAGATTGGAGAGTCTGACCCAGGGTCCTCAGGCTCTGCTTCCACATGGGAAGACGTGCCAGTGAGATTGAGGAGGTCTTCGAAGTATTCCGCCCATCGATCCACAACATCCCAAGTTGAGGTCAGCAGCGCACCATCACCACCATAAACAGTGCTGGTGGTGACCCCCACCCCCACCCCGAGATGCCAGATGGTGGACCAGAATCACCTCTAAGCCATACGTCTTTTTCCATGGCCTCTCCAACCTCCTCCCACGACCGAGTTTTTGCCTCAGGAACCACCTGAGCTGCGATCTGCTTGGACTGCCGATACCTACCAGCAGCCTCTCATAGGCCAAAAAGACCCGATAGGACTCCTTCTTCAGCCTGACAGCATCCCTGACCACCAGTGTCCACCAGCGGGTTCGAGGGTTGCCGCCATGACAGGCACCGACAACCCTGCGGCCACAGCTCAGGTAAGCCGCATCGACAATGGAGGCATGGAACATGGCCCACTCGGAATCAAAGTTGCCATGTCCCCTGGAACATGTTCAAAGTTCTCCTGGAGGTGTGAGTTGAAGCTCAGTCTGACAGGAGACTCTGCCTGATGTTCCCAGCAGACCCTCACTATACGTTTGGTCTGCCAGGTCTGACCGGAATCCTCCCCCACCATCAGAGCCAACTCACCACCAGGTAGTGGTCAGTTGACAGCTCCACCCCTCTCTTCACCCGAGTGTCCAAGACATGCAGCCACAGATCAGATGAACAACAACAAAGTCTATCATCAAACTGCTGCCTAGTGTGTCCTGGTGCCAAGAGCACATATTGACACACACGTGCCCCACCTCTAAGCCCGGATCCAGAGTCAGGCCCTGACGGCCTGTGTCCGGGCGAGGGAACACTCAATTCAAATGGCAATCATCATTAGGGTTCTTCGGGCTGCACTCTGTCTGATCCCTCACCTAGGATCTGTTTGTCTTGAGTGACCCTAATGGGGGTATAAAGCCCTTGATAACATAGCTCCTAGGATCATTGGGACATTCAAACCTCTCCACCACGATAAGGTGGCAGCCCAAGGAGAGGTAGTTTACCATGTAAACTACAAATTAGCCCACAGAAGTAGGATTATAACTGACAAATCTAAAACTTGGAAATACAAGTACTGCAGAAAGTAAACCAGGACCTGTGGGGTGCCAGTCACACAGTAATATGCATCAGATGTGGTTAACACTTAAAAAGTCAGAGTTTTCTTTGGACTTGAATGCATCACATGGAGCTCGGGTCTCATCAGCTGTTCCGCTCAGTAAGAGAATTTGCTGAATGACAAAACAGGGGTGGGTAAAATAATCGATTCAGCAATGCACTGCAATTCGGGTTTTTTAATTTTTTTAATTTTTTTGGCAATTCAAATCAATTCAGACAATGGTCTGACTGCAGCTGCTGTTGGCTCAAAACCTAAGGCATACAGACACTAAGCAACTTTATCTATTGTTTGTTTAAAATATTTATATTTTGAAATAAAAATATCAAGAAGTGATTTCTAATGTTTAATTGTTATTATGTTAAATTGTAATAAACTTAACTTTTATTTTTTCATA